TTGTGGGAGCTCTTGTGGGCTAGTTTGGGTCCCAATATCTTCCTGCTAACGTGTGTGTGTGTGTGTGTGTGTAGTGTGGAACACATGCCTCCCAGCTGTGTTTCCCTCGAGTTTGTACATTAAGTCAAGACTCACATATGCTCAAAGTGTTTGGTTTCAGTTGAGTCCATCCTGGCATTAAAAAAAAAAAAAGATCAATACGTAGACCAGGGATATTTAATTAAAGTTCCTGGAGGTCCAGTCTCAAAATTTTCATTGACGCAAAGCTCCGAACAATTGTATCTTAAAGGGTTAGTTCGCCCAAAAATGACAATTCTGTCAGTAATTACTCACCCTCATGTTGTTCCAACCCCGTAAGACCTTCGTTCATCTTCGGAACACGAATTAAGATATTTTTGATGAAATCTGAGAGCTGGATCACTCCTCCATAGGCTTCTTCAGGGATTGAACTTGCCGGCCTCGAAAAGTTATTAAAGACATCGTTAAAATAGTCCAAATGACTACAGTGGCTCAATCTTAAGTTTATCAAGCGACGAGAATACTTTTTGTGCGCAAAAACAAACAAAAATAACGACTTTATTTCAACTATTCATGTCCATCTCTTTGGGCCTGGAGTCAGTTCACTAGTGTAATAGTGTAAGCTTCTGTTGTTGTACGTCACACGCATCACGCACATGACCAGCGTCGGCCAATAGTGAGCCTACGTGTGACGTAGCTCTACGGAATCACACTACGTTAACTGACTAGAGGCCCAAAGAGAAGGACATGAATAGTTGAAATAAAGTCGTTATTTTTGTTTGTTTTTGCACACAAAAAGTATTCTCGTCGCTTGATAAACTTAAGATTGAGCCACTGTAGTCACTTGGACTATTTTAACGATGTCTTTAATAACTTTTCGAGGCCGACAAGTTCAATCCCTGAAGAAGCCTATGGACTAGTATGGAGGAGTGATCCAGCTGTCAGATTTCATCAAAATATCTTAATTCGTGTTCCGAAGATGAACGAAGGTCTTACGGGGTTGGAACAACATGAGGGTGAGTAAATACTGACAAAATTTTCATTTTTGGGTGAACTAACCCTTTAAACAGTTTTAGTGCTGTAAGAACTTTGCATTTAATTTCTGGTCATTTTTTTGTTGTTGTTATAAATGTTTGAACTGGCAGCTGTAACTCTTAGTAAAAAAATAAAAGTAAAAAAAATGTTTTTAGATACATCCTCTATAATATGCCGCCATTGCATTAATACGGTTAACTGCTACGGTTGGAGAAAAAAAGGATTTTTAAAAAACATATTGAGAAAATGATCTACAGTATGTAGAAACTATCTTTGATCTGGACGATCGTCCACTAATTGGTGACCTTTGTAGAAGTGGGTCTCTGAAGGCTTGAAAGAAATTTAAAGGGATAGTTCACCCAAAACTTTAAAAAAATCCCATGATTTACTCACCCTCAAGCCGGTGCATATGACTATCTTCTTTCAGACGAACACAAACAAAAAAATATTAAAGCTCTTCCAAGCTTTATAATGGTAGTATGGTAGTAAAATTATTATAAAATTATAAGCTTTATAATGGTTGTAAAATTATTCCATACGACTCCAGGGGGGTAATAAAGGCCTTCTGAAGCAAAGCGATGTGTTTTTTGGAATACAAAATATCCATATTTAAATGAAATATGATATATAAATATCATTTATAAATGAAAATAACTAGCTTCCGGCAGACGACCTATGCAAGTCATAAGCCAAAAGAGTAACCCCTGACATGATGTATGACATAGTATGTAATAGTAGCCTAAGCTTTGACGCCTCTTGTGGTTAAAAAAAAATAGGGCTCCTCTTCTCTTATATCAAAATCCTCCGAAATTTCTCTTTAAATATCCTCGTTTGAGACTTCTAATTTGTGACCGGTGTTTTGTTTTGCTCTATACTCATGCGTCAGGTCAAGTGTTACTCTTTTACCCTAAATCTATGCGTACGGCCGTCTGTCGGAAGTTAGTTTAATTTATGAAGTTTTAAATATGGATATTTTTCTCACACAAAACGCATCGCTTCAGAAGACCTTTATTAACCCCAGAGCCGTGTGGAGCACTTTTATAATGGATGGATGAACTTTTTTGGACTTCAAAATCAGGATCACTGCCATTATAAAGCTTGGAAGAGCCAGGATATCTTTTAATATAACTCTGATTGTATTCGCCTGAAAGTCGTATACACCTAGGATGGCTTGAGGGTGAGTAAATCATGGGGTAATTTAAATTTTTGGATGAACTATCCCTTTAAGACTAATATATTTACGAAATGTAGTTTTCACGATGTTTCAGCCAAACTTTGTTCATAAACTTAAAGATCAGTGCGTTGTACCTTTTTTTGTCTTTAGCCTATGAACAATTGCATATAATATTATTAAGCAGGAAGTTGGCACACTTAAATATTGCTTATGTATGTCCTGGAACAGTTAACCATAGGACAAGTTGAGCGTGAGCAAATATATAAAAACAATCATTAAAAATTAAAATGGGGTTCTACTAGACCTACCCACACAGGCTGGCTTGTTTTAAGCTAACCAAAATGTGCTTGGCTTCAGCAATGTCCCAGTAAATTGATGTTTGCCCTGACAACGAAGACAATAAACAACAGCACTTAGTAAGCTCTCAAACACTTAATTGCCTATTAAGCACAGTCAACTTGTCATTCTTCTTCCTGTGCCTCCTTGTTTGCTGGGAAGCCCCATGTACTATAAACTAGTTGTTGATTGACTTCAGATTTTTCAAAGTTGAGTCGACGTTGACTAGTCACTGATGATGCCATTAATGAATAAATAAGCTTGAACCTCGAACCTCGAACACGGGTTGTCTTGTGCACAGATATGGAATATGACACAGCGCTGCCCATAAGGCTATTGCTCCTATACAGCTTTTTATCCGTTCTTTTGTCTTTGGGTCATTATATTTCTGTTTTAGATCTAAATCAGATACAGATGAAGTAGCACAGGAAAGATTACATAAATATGAATGCATTATACAGAGCGATTGTGTGTGAATTAATTCTACCTGGCAGCGTCTCTCTACTAATAGTGAAGCTGTGGGTTTTAGTTACCGGTACTAAGAAATATATCATTGAACTTTTCAGTTTCTAAGCTATTTTATTGATAAATGACAGAACAGCTTTGACAATACATTTCTGCCCTACTGAATGTTTTGAGGATGTGTGCACGATCTGCACGTGATGTGCGAGCAAGTGTGTGTGTGTGTGTGTGTGTGTGTGTGTGTGTGTGTGTGTGTGTGTGTGTGTGTGTGTGTGTGTGTGTGTGTGTGTGTGTGTGTGTGTGTGTGTGTGTGTGTGTGTGTGTGTGTGTGTGTGTGTGTGTGTGTGTGTGTGTGTGTGTCACAATGCAGACTGGAATTGCTGTCGACTCGTTTCAGCAGTTTTATTAGTCTTCTTTTAGGAGACGATAACTTTTGTCGCGCACTTTGATCTTTAAAACTTTGCAGACCTTTTACATTCACAAACAGCTTTATGACGCACTGACTGCATTAAAGGTATAATTGGAAAAAGCTCAATAGGGACACTTTAAGCTCTGAATGAGATATTGGGGTGAATGCCCAAGCTGCAGTTTCTCATACAACTGCAAAAAAGCAGAACAAAAGTTGTCCATATGACTTGTGAGATATATTTAGCTGCCAGGCCAATAAATAAATAAAAAATCACATTCTTTTACATTATAAGCTATCAGAATTTCCTCGTAACCCTTACAAGCTATTCAATTTTAATGTACACTCATGTTGGGGTCTCCAGAGATCTTAGGCAAAAAAATGTGATTTTGTAACATCATAATGTTTTTGTTTTTTTAAACACGTGTAATATCACTCACATTTGATTTGTGCAGTATTGGGGGGATTTAAGGTGTATTTTATATATATATATATATATATATATATATATATATATATATATATATATATATATAAAAATGTAAAATGGGTAGGGGTGTTGTGTGTGTTTACTCCATCATGGATGTGTTATGGTGTTGCCATTTGTTGTGTTTTTTGCATTGTAACTGATTTTTTTGGGGGGGACAAATTATGTAACAAAAATACTTTTTTTATAGTCTCCCATTGATGTCTATGGGAGATTTTTTGGAGTGTGTGTGTGTGCGTGTGTTAGCATGAGCGTTCCACATTGTGGATGTTCTTTTAGGTTGCCACTTCCATATGTGTTCTGTGTTGTGGCTGATTTAGTTTTTTTATTTTACAAATATATAAAAAAGTATATATTTTTTCCATTTCCAATATTATCCTATTTTAAAAAAATATATATTTTAACACTGTACAAATTAATAAAGTGAGTGATAATTCATTTGTTTTTAAAAAATTACATTATTATGTTACAAAATCACATTTTATTGTCTGGGGTCTCGGGAGACCCCGAACATCCTGAGAGGGATGTCTTTTTTTTTCACGCTAACATACAACCAGATATCATCCGATTTATTTTTCTGTCCGTAAAGCTAGCAAGTCTCAACCTCGACATCAAGTCTCATGCCATTTAGATGGAGGAAACATTTTTATTAATTTCAGCAAACGTCATTTTCCATCAAAAAGACCCAGAAAAGCTTATAAGGGGTAATGTTTGACCATGTAAGTATCCGCAGCTGCACCAAATTGCATATTTTTACTCCGTTTGGGCTGAATAAAATTGAGGTGTTTTTGTCTTCCTTGAGTATGAGCTCCATACTCTCCTTCATTTTACTGCATTAGCCATAAAAGCCATATCAAATATGATACAACAACAACAACAAACACATATCCAATTATATAAAAACTCATCCTAACCGTTTGTAATATTTTTTTCTAAAGGTTCAATAAACTGTTCAGTGTCAAAAAATAAATGTATTTTATTTGTCAGGCTTTACAGGGTAAAATATTTTGCCAGTATTGATGTGTTTTTTTTGTGTGAATAAATGCTTGGGTAAGAAAATGATGGTGATGATTCTGTTGCAGGTCTGACGGATGAGAAAGTGAAGGCGTATCTCTCGCTCCACCCGCAGATGCTGGATGATTTTGTGCTGGAAAGCGTGAGTGCGGAGACGGTGGACAGATGGCTGAAGCGGAAGAACAGCAGTCAGCCTGCAGGTACGGGCTCGTGCCGTGTGCTAGAAGATTCTGTCACAAATAGTCCTGCGTTTACTTGTTGCGACAGTGTCTTTGGTTTTTTTTAAGGCTGACTTTTTAGACGTCATTTCACACAATTGTAAACATAATATAGATATTTTGAATGCATACAAATGCTTTATGCTTTATTCCTGGTTAACCTTTGCTTCTGGAAAAGGTATATGCATTTACAGTGGTTCTCAATAAAACCCTTTAAAAAGAAAAAAGAAAAAACCTACATGTAACAGTCAGTTGAGATAAAATGCAACTAACCATACAATTGTACATAACAAAATAAATAGATTCTCCCCCCATAAAATAATAACTTCCCAAATAATTATTTTGTTGTTGTTCTCTTGGTAATATGGCTATTATTATTATTATATCTGGCCCTGTGTTTGCTCCATGGTATATGAACATTTTTGTTACTTGAAATAAAATAAACGTTAACTGAAATAAAATTTTAGCTAGTTGCAAAGGCATCATTTCTCATTTTATTTTAGTCTAACTTGAAGTATTAAAATAACCAAAACTGAAATAAACTAATAATAAGAGATCGTGATTTTAACGGTAAAAGACTGTAAAAATGCTACAGTAAAAAAAACGTTAATTGGTTAACAGAAAGTTTTTCATAGTTTTCTTGTTTTTTTTTTTCTAATCAGTTATGTACATTGGGGTTTTATGTTACATGTAATGTTGTTAAATTAGTGTTTATTGCATTTTTTAAATTTCATGTGTGTTACCATGATGGTGTTTAATTTGTGCGAATGACACTGTGCAGCTTCTATATAATAGTATTAACTTTCTTGTGGAAGAGCTGCTTGTGATGAGCCTTGACCATGTGAATCTCATCACTGCTGTGATTGGTGGTTTTCAATGTATTACAATGGTACAAAACAGATATTAATACTTCAATATGTCGGTAAATTAACATTATATCAGATAATGAAATACGGTTTATTACTGTAAATTTTAAGTCTGTAAAACCAATAACGTTGCTACCATATTTTTGACGGTAAAGTTCTGGCAACCACAGCTGCCGGTATTTTACCGTAAAAATTATGTTTTATTTTTTACAGTGTAGACATATTGGTAACACTTTACAATAAGGTTTCATTAGTTAACTAGTTAGCATGAGCTAATAATGAACTGCACTTATACTCAATTTATTAATCTTTATTCATGTTAATTTCAACATTTACTACATTATTAAAATCGTGTTAACATTAGTTAATGCACTTTGAACTAACATGAACAAACAATGAACAGCTGTATTTTTATCAACTAACGTTAACAAATACAGTAACAAATGTATTGCTCATGGTTAGTTCATGTCAGTTAATACATTAACTAATGTTAACTAATGAACCTTATTGTAAAGTGTTACCGAAAAATAACACAAATGACAAAACACACAAATCTGTAATAAAATTAGTAGATTAAAATGAAAATAAAATAACAACTATATAAATAATATATTTATATATAATTATATGTAAAATCAAAATACAAAATATTAGGAAAAACTATAATAAAAGCCTATATCACTGGTCCTGAAGCAAAATCAGTCTAAAACATGAAAATTTCACTGCTTATCATAACACATTCATATTGTGTAATTCTATTTGGAGACTGGTTGCACACATTTGAAATGTAATACATTTTGTATGTTCAGTAATTATTATAAATTTTTTCTTGCACATCTGAGGCAAAACATTTATTATTTAAGTTGAGTTTTAATATCTTAATCCAATTGAATCTAATGCGTCACAGTAAATGTCTTTTCAAAAGTACCCTAAAACAGTGGTTCTCAAGCCTGTCCTGGAGCACACGATTCGTATGTCTCCCTCATCTGACACACTCACGTCAGGCCTCGCAGTCTCTACTAAACAGCTGATGAGTAAAATCAGATTTTTTGGTTCTGTTTTTATTGCTTTTTAAAAAAAAAAATTATTTAACCCAGAAAAAAAAAACATCAATAGACTTCATACACCTCTTCTGTGCATGTGTCTGTGTTTACGTAACCTGAGCGGCTAAAGGGTTAGCGCACTGCTGAAAGTATGAGAGAGAGGGCCTGCTGGGTCCTTACGGGTCATTAGGGCTGTTTAAGCGGGACTGGCTTCTCTGTGCACAGCATGCTTCGTGCCTCGGCCTGCTCCACTCGACCCATCACATCCATCAAGGGCCCACAGGGCTGGCGGCCGGCCCAGCTCAGCTACTGACGTCAGAGCCAGCCTCCAGGGGCATGCAGTCGGTCGGGGGGGAGGAGGGGGAATGTGTCGCATTTTGGGAATGTTTTCTGCATGAGTGCAGCAGTGCTCTCTCACAGGCAGCCGGCTGATGGTTAACCTCGGCTCTGCTTCTCAGGCACCGTTTCAACATCAGTCTCTCTGTAAAGCATGTGTGCCAGATTCTGTCTTGGCCTGTGATCCATATCAAGCAGTGCTTTGAATTAGTATGCATGTTAGCTTTCAAATTCTTTGTGCACGTCAATGCTTTTTCTTTTCAATTAAAGTATATGGTTTGGAATGTGGGTTCAGTCAACAAAGACACATTTTACTTTTCATGTATGTTCACTGAGCATCATCTCAAATACAGTCATTTTATAGTTGTTTTTTATCAATAATTCTTTAAAAAATGTATTTAGTTTATTTGATTAACCAAAAATTTATGAATTTATTCATTGAAAATGTTATACTCGTGATTGGATTGCCTATTATCAAAGTGTAAGCAATTGTTTAAATGTATTTTTAAAAAAAATTCCTTTTTTTTTTTCTCTCACTTTAACTTTTGCTTTTAAACAGCAATCAAAATCCCAGATTTTGTGACTGGCTGGGTTATATAAATTCAAACAAATAAATCCCAACATTTTTATATTCAGTATATACCTCAATATTTATGAATCTGAAATGTCTTAAAAGTGTCACTTTTTTTTAGTCTGAAGAGCCATCATTAAAAAATATATATATATATATATATATATATATATTAGGGGTGGAACGGTACATGTATTCGTATCGAACCGAAACGGTACGGGCGTCACGGTTCGGTGCACGAATTTACACGGAGAATACACGGTATAAAAATAAATAAAACTCGCGTGCAAATTAATTAATGTAATGCGGAACTACTGTTAGATACGCGGGTTCTTTAGGGACACATAATCTGTACCCTCGGCTTAGCTCTGAACGCGCGTTCACTTCAAACGTTGGCTTTATACGCGCGTCCTATTCGCTTTGGACTAGCGTCGAACTAGACACGAATTTGACGCTCTATTCGCGTTTGGTGTGACCGTGACCGCATAATGAACAGGCTGCGATGTCAAGATTGCAATGCTTGTGTGTGTGTGTGTGCGAGAGAGAGAGAGGCGCGCGGGCGCGATCGAACTGTGTGTGAGAGAGAGAGAGACAGAGGCGCGCGATCGAACAGTGGAAACATAAAAAACATACTCCGTCATTTTGTTCAGATCATTAAACCTGCAAAGTGTTTACTTATATTTGTGTACACTCGCAATAAAACACAACATTGTGCTTTTGTCACACTGTAAACTCTTGTCAAACTGTAACCTACAACTGTCACCCAACCAAAATCACACACACACACACACACACACACACACACACACACACACACACACACACACACACACACACACTGTTTTAAAAGCAAAACATATTTATCCAACTCCATTTCAAAACAGTCTGTGTGTTCCATCTTTTGGACATTCATCATATTGCCTTGGTTTTCATGTCTTGTCCTCGGAGCACTAATCTTACACATTCTACATTGATTAAAAAAAGAAAATCGAATTTGTTTTTAATGGTAGTATTATTTTATACAGAAATCAATTATTTATAATTCAGATGAGAATAATGTTACATTGTCAATTAATAATGTTAATCAAAATTAAGGAAAACAAATATATTCATCTGAAATATAGCAAAATAATTTTCAATTAATTCAGGTACAATTACCAAACATATCGCAAGGTCTTTTTGTCTTTTTATTAATTTAATTAATAAACTAATTATATAAAACTATTGTCAGTGCACTACAAATAAACTGGTTCTATGCCTTTATTAATAAAACTTATTTAAAAAATACAATGCCTTCTGCATTTTTGTTTTGCTTTTCCCTCCATTGTACCGAAATCGTACCGAACCGTGATGTCTGAACCGAGGTATGAACCGAACCGTGACTTCTGTGTACCGTTCCACCCCTAATATATATATATATATATATATATATATTATTATTATTATTATTATTATTATTATTATAACCAACTAAATCCAAAATGTTAAATAGCAAGAGGCTAAATTCAGTAAGAATGTTTTCCACTGTTTCCATTAGTGTGTTTGCACTGCATGTTCCAAAGTGAAGTGCTCACTTTTCTCTTAGTATCACTTTGTCTTAACACTTTCATTTTCATAGATCCTGAGGGTTGTTAACCTGGCCCGCCTAGCTTCAATTTAGCCTAGCCGCCTAATTTCGCTCCGCCTAGCTTCACTCATCCATCTGGAACCGATCCATTGAAATGGCGTTTCAGAAGGCTGGGCCTTATCAAAAATCCTTGCATATGATTGGATAAGCCACTTGTCTGTCATCTTTATCGACGTGCTATTTCAACCACTCACACCGAAGCCAACCCGTGAAAAAAAAAAGCCTTAGGAGCCGTTCTCTGATGTTCTTTTAATGAAACAATATTAGGTAGATTGGACAACACGGATGAAATAGCAGCATCAATGTTAACGCTTGTTTCCTCGATGCGAGCCGCCATTGTTGTCTGAATCAAAACAGTCTCACGGTCGCTTCTCCACTACGTCACATCTATGAAACTCCCGCCCTGCGTCCTGATTGGCTAAACCATAAAGTTGGTTGGAGAAATCACTCTCAATGGAAGAGGTTCCAGATGGATGTGAGTGAAGCTAGGCGGAGCGAAATTCATCAGGCTAGGGCCAGGTTAGAGGATTGTGAGTTAG